GATATCGTCCTCTTTTGGAAGGCCAAACAAAGTAGTTTCGCTTTCACAACGAAACACACAGCGCCTTCACAACATGGCGGCAGCAACAATACTACAGCGAGAATAAAAGTTACGCCTTCTTTCTTTGCGTGAACATTTGGGCGGCGTTATGCAAATCTTCCCACATCGTGACGTAGACATGTGGGGGCGTGTTAGAACGTGCCGTTTTAGGTAGGCGTGGTTGACTCTTAACTTTTATAAAGAATATCTCTTTGGATTTGATTTTGGATTTGCAACTTTACAGATCTTCTTTATGCACCAAGAGCTTGTAACACTTCAAAGAGAAAGGAAAAATTGAAATCGCATCATATGACTAAAATTAAAATGTGGAGGCCCATAAGGGGTCAGGGGTCAAACTGTGGGCCAATGTGTTTAAAATGGTGAACTAGTTAAATTGGCAAGTTAATTTTAAAACACTTACCGTTTGGTTTTTTATTCGGTGGTAGGGCTGAACGATAGGAAGTCCCAACGGCGTTACCCATTCCACCGTTTTCCCAGACATAGCTATTAGCTTAGCACTCTCCGTCAGCCATTCCTGAGAGAAAAAGTCAGAACAGTGTCAACCAATCGATCCAACAATATATTAAGCATTCAGAACCAAATTTACATAATGATTTGAACTAGATAAGCTGAAACTGAAACCCCTATGCATAACAATTTGTCTTCACCGGAAATAATTGCGATAAAGTAGCTGCGATAAAGTAGTCTCCGGCTATAGTTGGAAAAATCCAGACATACAGGTGAGAAATTGTTGCTGAGATGAAGCGTTTAAAAAACCTGCTGATCCACAGCAACAGTGCTGGCTGCGCAACTTGGCTGCCACATTCGTAACGTCCCGAGTGCTCTCCCCAAAACGCTTTGTGTGAGATAAATTCCTCTGTTCATCTGGAAGCGGGCCGGGCCTGAAGTGGCTCCATTCATCAGAGCGTTTACCAACATCCAGGGCCCACATCTCCTGTATCACCTTCTGCCGGTAACGGGAATGATCAACTACCTGGGCTCCACTGCCGCCGCTCCTGAGGATCTGACCTATTTAGGAAGCTGCGGGATATTTCACCTTCGCTCTGCCTGTCTGCTCGTCTCCCCAGAGGGGTGCAACAGGAGACAGTGAGCGGCTGGTCCTTGATCTACTGCACCAGGGACATTCATTCCTTTTCGGTTTCCTGCAGCTGTAATTCATGAGCCAGTTGCATCATGGGAGAACTATATCTAGCGATTCACAAAAATACTCTTTTCATTCATTCAAAAAAAAAAGGAAGGAAGCAACAAGGGTTGGGTTTTGTTTAAAAACCATTGATAAACATTACGGTTCAAAAGTTGGTAAAGGATGTTTTTGAAAGAAGTTTCTTTTATGGTCACCAAAGCTGAATTTATTTGATTAAAATATGGTAAAGATATAAATATTGGCAAATATTATTACAATTTTAAATAGATGTTTTCTATGTTAATACATTTTCAAATGTAATTTATTCCTGTGATGTAAAGCTGATTTTTCGGCATCATTACATCTTCAGTTTCACATGAACCTTCATATTCTAATATGCTGATTTGCTGCTCAAGAAACATCTCTTATCATTATCAATGTTTAAGGCAGTTGCACTACTTAAATGTGATACACTTTTTTTCTAGGTTTTTATCTGAAATATAAATTATATCATTAAAAATATTCTCTATAACTTTTGATCAATTTAATGCCTACTTGCTGAATATGATGAAATGTACATTTCAAGACTCCAAAATGAACTAAAATATAATGAAAATGACCACAAATTAATTTTAAATTTAGCTTTTGGTACAGAACATATTGTAAAGGTTTCACAGATGAATCTCAGCAAAAAATAAAAAATAAAAATAACATTAGACAGCCATGACAAATATATTTGCTCTATTTGAATTCTATAATTTAATACATTAACTTTAGTAGTAATAAAAATAACACTACAATTAAACTACTTCTTTGTCATTGTGCTCTTGTGTTGGGGACTTTTAGTTTGTAGTTTTGTTTTGTTCCTGTTTCCGGGTGTATCTTCTTTAGTAGTCATATTATCCCTATGTATAGAAGCCCTTCAGATGGCTGGATGTTTGGTTGCTCAGTTCTCTGTTTTTTGTTTCCTGGTTTTCAAGTTTCTTGTAGTTTTTGAAATCCTGGTCATCACCGAGTTAACCATTTGTTACTAAACTAAAACCACCAACCATAGTATAAAATCTCAACTAAATAGAAAAGGCCATTTTTGTTAAATTTTGGTAAAAAAGGTCCACTGTCTACTGTCAATGGTGTAGTGATGTATGAAGCGCAGCTTGCACAAAAGTCACTTTTAAACCAAGAAGCTTTTGTTGGTCAACATGACAAATCTGCATGACCAACTTGAACCCATTACAAAATCTTTCGCCCTCACACAAAATTCCAAATCGTGTGGATTCCTATTGAAATGACTGAAAATTCTGCTTGCGAAAATTCGCTTAACAACGGTAAATGTGACCACACAAGTGAAAAAATATAATAGTCCTGATCATTAAAGTGTATAAGGGAATGTGATATTATATACCTGAATTTCTCTTGTCCCAGTGAACATTTCCTTCAAGCTGCTGAAAACCTGCTTCACCAGGTAATGTGACGCATCCCATATGTATTCCTGTGGATTGAAAATAGCACAATGTTAGATATTCACACAAGCACAATAGTGTGGATGCGTGTGGATGCTTTATCCAAACCTAAAAAGGGCACATCATGGCATAAATATAATATTTGCATGCATTTGCATATGTATGTCAGGTAATTGAAATGAGATTTAAACAAATACACTCTTAAAAATAAAGATTCAAAAGTGGGTTTTCACCATAGAAGAACCATCTTGGTTCCTCAAAGAACTTTCCAGTGAACAGTTCTTAAAAGAACCACTTTTGTCTAAACATGTAGAACATTTGAAAAATCTAAATAGCCTTTTGTGGAATGGAAAAGGTTCAAGATTCTTCATGGCAATAAATTTGTCTTCAAAGACACCAAAAAAGGTCTGAGATTTGGACAAGGGAACACAACAAAATATGTTTATGTTCAACAATCCAAAGTTTAGCTTTAGCGAGCAGAACGTGGAGATGAGATCCCTTGACTCTATAGGTGATAATGCCTCATTCATTCTCCACAGCTTGGGAGATACGAGAAGAGCATCACCTGTTTCTATGGTTGTCCACAGAAGGCCGCACTTGGGGAAATCAAGACTGACGCAAATGGAGGGGAAAGTAAATCCCTAAAGTTCACATCATCTGTGATGTAAAACAAGATTACTAAGCTTATCTTCACCTTTATGTCGAGCTGAAGAAAAGGTTACAATAACTAGAAATAATGGCGATAACAGAGAGAAAAGAGGACATTGCATGGCTAAAGCAACTGAGATGTGGCTCTTTTCCAACAAAAAAGTGCCTATAAACAATCTGGGAGAATTTCTGATGCAGACTCTGGGCTCTGGAAAATTTGGATCCGACCACATCCATCCAAACATCATGCAGGACAAGGTTTGGTTCACACGGAAACTCTTGAGTCACAGTTTATTGCTCCATCTATGATAATTTTAACCAAAGTGCAACAAGCCTCACCTTAGGGAAATCATCGATTTCCTTCAGTCGCTTTTCGATTTGCAGACGGCCCCCGTAGCGCGTGACGCCATAGACCACAGTCATCACCGTCTGCTTCACCACCTTCCTACTGATGAAGCCCTCCAGCACCTGCGCGATCTTCAAACCCTTCTCTGCATCCCGAGCCCTGAACTCTTCCACCTATGAGACACGGGACAGCGCACCTTTCTGAGACTCCATAAATCAATGCACTTATTAGTCACAGTAATGTTAGGGATGGGTCACAACTGACAATTTGTTGAAGTTTTTCAACAACCGACTAATCATGTAGTTTGAAGAGTGTTAGATTTTTGTATATTTTTTTTATATTTGTAAATATATTAAAAAAAATACAATATTTTAAACATTATAAAACATAATAATATATTTTAAATATTCAAAAAAATTATTATACACTATTATATATGATATTAAAACAATCATATTTATTATTTTATTATATTTTATATATTTGTAATGTATAATAAAATTGTTTTACTATTATTAATATTATAAATGCATGACATATATGTATAATAAAATAATGTAGTATTATCATTGTTATATTTAAAATAGAAATAAAATAAAGTTAATATGAATAAATATGATTTTTTTATATTAACAACATTAACAAAAACATAATACAATTGTGTATTAATATTAGATTTATAGTACAATATAACAAATAAACTGGTAATAATATTTAAATAAATATAACATTTATATATTATTAAAATGTTTTTTAATTGATATTTTAAATATAATAATAACTAAAATAAAAGTAAAAAAAAAATATATATATATATATAACATCCTCACATTGCTATATATAACAACTTGCACATTATGCTGTGTATAGGAAATGAAAAAACATATCATCATCATTACTTATTTTTATTCTTTTTTTTATTTAAACAATATTATTATTATTATTATTATTATTATTATTATTTAACAAGTAAGTATCCCAGAGACCCCTGGTTGGGAATCAGTGTTCTATAACTTATTTTAAAGACCCTTGAGGGGGAATTCAGAAATAAAACTATCGATAACAGAAATACCACAATTGTCCCTCACTTAAACTATAAATAGCTTATTCTGCATGGAGGGAGGAGCAGGTTCATTAATCGCACATGAGGTGTGAAAGGTGCTGACGGTCTTATTGGGGCTCTTGAGAGCTTACCCTATCAAACAGAAGGAACAATGAGACTGTTTAAGCCAAACTCTGACTCAGCAGAGCTCATTGAGATGTCTGCTATGCACCCTTCAGCTAAGGTTAGCGCAACCTGATGTTTCTGGTGAGAACGACATGCTGCATTTAGAGATTACACTGTGTTCCCAAAATATAGCCAAGTCAATAGGTAGGTCGATATATCTCAGATAGTGTTCTCTAAAAAATATGCAGTCTTCCCATAGCTGAAATATAACTGGAGCTTTGAGACCATGAGTTGTGTAGATGCAGCAATTTAAGATGAATATTCAGCTTTGAGGGAAAAAAAAAAAGGATGAAAAAAGCCTCTGACA